AGTAAACTTCGAGAGTTACAACCAATATGCAAAGCAGAAATTGCAAAGAGAGCTAAGGCTAGAATAGGTCATTCGAAATTGTCCCATCGGCTAATACCATTAAACTCTTTGTTACTTTTCTTTGGAGAATCTCCTGCTTAGAATGAAATGAAGAAAGCAAATTTGAGGGAAATTTATCCGTGGCTGGTCTGCTATCACTTGGGATAGACAACATCGGGTAAACAGGTCTGGCTAGAGTGGAGTTAGTGACCGCAATACCGGGTGCAAAGATTGCATCCACTGCATAGATTAATCAGGTATAGACTTGGATCGGATGTAAACTTTTCTTAAAAGCATCTTCAGTCCGTATGGCATGAACTCAGCGGAAGATTGCTTTCAATATAAAAATTTTGCAGAATTCGTTAATCAAATAATGCGAATTAACGGTGATGTAACAGTTATTTGGTTGCATGAACAAATTTGTGAATACGTAGCAAAAGGATAAGCTTGAAATTGTGATAGTACCTATGTGCTAATTGGTCCTTATGGGAGGGACAATGTATCCCACAAGGGTATAACACAATGCAAATCCGTAAACTTGCATCACAACGCTCATGGCATTGTGATTCAAACGTCGCTAAGAGTACCGCTGAACTATTTTATACCTCTACTTCAACACTTGTGCGCCATGGCAATTTTCTCAATCTTGTCTTGAAAATTGCAAATATATTTATTTACAAATCAACAGGAAAATTAAACATAGGATGATGAGTAGGAAAAAATATTAAGAAGAGAGATGAAGACTTAGCACCTAATTAGATCCAAAGTTAACTGAAAGTGACACTATAGAAAAGAGAATGAGAGAAGAGGAGGACCTCAACAAAAGGTGGTTGTAAGTGGAAAGACTCTCAGGACAAGCTGCAACAACTAATTTTGGTAAATCAAAAGCTGACGACAGGACATTAAGGCATTCTGTAGCAGAACTTAAGCAGAGAGAGCAAAAGTGCGTAAAGAACATCTGCAATGCACGACGCGAACTCTTCTCGGGTTCGAAGGTTCAAATCCAAAGTTCGGTGAGCGTGGAATGACATGTTCTGCAATCGCACTCTTGTCAACCTACCGCGCTCCAAAAATCCTGCAAATGATCTCACGTTGAGAATCCGGTTTGAGCTTCAATGATTCTTTAGCTGTAACTTTGTTATATTGATTTCTTGGGGCATACCTAAGTCAAAACCCATTTCCCAATTTAGTATTCTAAGGGAATAGGAATTTTATTGTGCTTCTTATCACTGAGTTCAGGGCTCTCCTATGGGCCAGGTGGCAAGTCGGTTTACTGGATTATTTATAAGACCTGCAGCAAACCTTCGGCCGAACGACGATGAAGATCCTGAACAACAGCTAACCTTTGCCAATGCAGCTGGTGAGATTTTTTTAGATCTAATAGTTTTTAGCGTTTCTGCTTCATTTTGCAACTTTGTAATCCTATTTAACAAACATAATTTATCGTCTATGTTAAGGATCTTACTTTGGATCGCATTTTCTGATGTGTGGTGGTCGTTTTGATA